ATGATAGTTTAGGTAACCTAACAACGTAAATAACATGCAATAGTTATTAACATTCTGAGTTCAGATGTATAGATTTATTGCATCATTACCAAAGTGCTCACAACCCTTAACCACTGTTTTTTTTAAAAATTTAATTATGATAGTTTAGGTTATCTGCTTACAATAGTGAATGTTGTTCTTGAGAAGTCAAGAGGGATGGGATTCTAGCAGAGATGGATGATTGTCTTTTTCTAAAGACAAGCTAAGAATCCACAGAACAGAAGCTGGATAAATGCACAGACTCAGTAATTCAGTTCAGGTGCTAGAACTGTGAAGTTCTTACTTGGGGCTCTGTATTCTCCTGGAGAATAAAAAAGAAATTAACTTTTTTTTATGTAGATGTAAGTATGTTGTGGGGTGAGGGAGGTCAATATTTTGAAAATGAGAAAATATTGAGATAAAGGGATTAATTCGAAACAACAAAGGAATCATCTTTAGTCTCTGTGAGGTTTCAAAAGCAGTAAACATTTGCAGTGAAAGTTTTTGATCATTATTTCACAGAGAGCACGATTCAGCAAAGGAAACACTTTCCCGAGGGAAGTAGTCCTTTGAGGTGTTGCTTTAATGAGTTCCATAGAGGCCACTCTTATCAGATCACCAAATTTAAACCCCTCCAAAACGGCGTATGGAGGTAGGTATCAGATCTAAATCTGATATTTGGGGATTTTTCCTTGATAATCTGTAGAATATCACTAAGTCCTGTTAAATGTTTATGCCAAGAACCTTCCACCATTTTCCATTTTTATGGGTTTCTAGTTCTATACATAAAGTAGCGGGAGAATCAGTGACTGTGAGAAAGAGACTGAGAAAAAGAGAGACTGTGAGAGAGTCTCAGAGATTGTGAGAGATTGAGAGAGTGTGTGAGAGAGTCAGAAACTGTGAGAGAGAGACTGAGAGAGGGGCTGGTTTTTACACTACTCTGTAGAGAAGAACCTTCCTATCTGTTTCCCGGATGCCACAGGTACGTCTCGGGGATGGGTTGGTGTTCGGTGAGCACAGACAAGGGTACTTTTGACTTATCACCCACCAGATCTGAATCAGGATCTGGTGACTGAGTTATACAACCTTCTTCTGTCTGCTGAGAAGGAATCTCTGTAAAACAGTATTGTCCTTTTCAGAAAAAACATTTGTACACTGCAGAAATGTTTACAGACCAGCTATGCAAAATGCTGATACAAATCATTAGTGTTCAAGAAGGAAAATTCACTCATTTGAAGACTTCTTGCACTTAACCTGTCACCTCAGAGTCAATTTAATATTATTGTTGATGGTCATCAGGCTTCTCTTTATCCTGCTATACCTCCTTAAGGACAGGAGTAGCTGGTAGAGCCAGATTTCTTCTTATTTATTTATTTATTTATTTATTTATTTATTTAGCTTTTTTGGGTCACACCTGACGAAGCACAGGGTTACTCCTGGCTCTGCACTCAGGAGTTACTCTTGGCGGTGCTCAGGGGACCATATGGGATGCTGAGAATTGAACCCAGGTCGGCCGCATGCAAGGCAAACACCCTACCCGCTATACTACCACTCCAGCCCCTAGAGCCAGATTTCTAATGTCCAAAGTATCAGACTGAAAGCCATCATAAACATCTCATCCTGTTGTCTTCTTTTACAAATGATGATTAAGTTTTAGGTGAACAAACGTGTATTGTGACTCATTCTTTATTTCTTCCTACAAGGACAATCATCTACCCCAACTTTGTCTTAGAAACATCCTTCCGTCTGAGTGGTGAAGAAGACTTTTAATGCCCTTTCCTTTGTCAGAAATAAGAAGGAGCTATATGTACCCCCCAGTGGCTTGCACAGTGTGAGCCACTAGTGGTACATACCAACATCAACATGCATTAAAATTCCTTTCTAATTTAAGTTGCTATATACATATTTTTTTCTTTTTGGGTCTCACCCAGTGATGCTCAGCAGTTACTCCTGGTTCTGCATTCAAGAATTACTCCTGGTGGTGCTCAGGGGACCATATGGGACTCTGGGAATCAAACCCCGCTCAGCTGCGTGCAAGGCAAATGCCCTACCCACTGTGCTATCATTCCAGCCCCTGTTAAATATTTTTTATAGGAAATTAATCTACATTTGGGGTGATGATTTTTTTCTCCTTTCACTATTATGCTTAGTGTCTCCTACATGTACATAAATACATTAGAATATCACAAGTATTGCTACAACCACTATCTATGTGCCTAGATTTAGATTTTTCACTAGCTTATTTTGACCTGTGGAAGAGAGAGGAAAATAGAGACAGAGAGAATGCATGCATAATAGAGAGAAAGAGAGAAACAGAGTGAGAGAGACAATGAAAGGGAGAGAGTAAAAGAGAATTTGTTTATACAGTTTAGATGTGACTTTTGTTAAGAATTTATTAACTTAATTTTCCGATTTGATAGGTTTTTTAACTTGATTTTCTGAGTTTTGGCTTTTAGTCACATATTTACAAAAAAAAGTGATAATATATGTAGGCATGAATGCCTGCTTCCTTTGTGTTTTTGCTAACCAAACATCTGTTGCACTATTTCTCCTTTTTGTTTCCTTTTGTCTATTGTTAGATTAATAATTATTTTTATTTCCTTTTATGCTTGGGAATTTTTGAAACTAAGATTGCATAGCCATTTTTGATTATTTACATTAATTATAGGTAAAGGTAAAGGCCCTCCCGTTGATCGTCGATTTGCTCGAGCGGGCCCAGTAACGTCTCCATTGGAGACTTTGTTGTTACTGTGTCTGGCATATCGAATACTCTCGGTAGCTTGCCGGGCTCTCCGAGAGGGGCGGAGGAATTGAACTCGGGTGGGCCATGTTGGCCGCTTGTAAGGCGAACGCCCTACAGCTGTGCTATCTTTCCAGAGCCCGGCAAGCTACCGAGAGTATTCGATATGCCAGACACAGTAACAACAAGTCTCCAATGGAGACGTTACTGGGTCCGCTCGAGCAAATCGACAATCAATGGGAGGGCCTTTACCTTTACCTTTACATTAATTATTAATAGTGAAGTTTAATAAATTGTTTTATTTTATTTGTGTTTGGGAGCACTGCTAGTGGTACTCAGGGCTTATGCCTGGCTCTGCACTCAGATTAGTTCTGGAAAACTCGAAAACCACATGGGGTTCTGAGGTAACCCAGGTAGGCAAACACCCTACGCACTGTACTGTAGTCATAGCAAATTATTTTAAAATGATAGCCAGGGCTTCAAGTCTCATGAAGAAGTCTTTTTTTAATTTTTTTATTTTTTGGTTTTTGTTGGTTCACCCCCAGTCATGCTCAGGGGTGACTCCGATTCTGCATTCAGGAATTATTCCTGATGGTGCTCAGAAGACCAGATGAGATCCTGGGATCTGAGTTGACTGCCTGTAAGACAAACACCCTACCCACTGTACCATCACTCTGGCCCCTAATGGAGCAGTCCTTATTCAATTTTTTCCTTTCACTTGCTGATGAAAAATAACATTTTTCTCCTTCCAATTTCAAAATAATTATAGCACTTAGATTATAAATTTTACTTAGCATCATTTTCAAATTATATGCTAATGTTGTTTTCATGTATATGACTTACCTCTGATCCACTTTGATCTTTATTTATTGATGTGCTATTTTAATAGAGTACTAACAATTTTCAGTTATGAATACCCTTATATTTTTATCTCCAATTACATCTGTTTTTAAAAATATATTGAAACATCCTAATTATTCTTATATTAGAGTCTGTAGAACATTGTTTCATTATGGTACTTAAAAAAACTCCTTTGTGAATGTAATTGATGAGAAAAATCATTGCTGATGTTACATACAATGTATTATTGATAAACCTGATTTCCTTAAACATCATTAATTTAAATCAGTTTCTAAGAATCTATCAATAATATTCAGTGATTGCTTGCTATATACATTCATCACATCTTGAATTAATTTAATGTTCCAAGAAATATTTTTTAGTAGAGGTAGTATTTACATTTACAAAATGTTTTTTTGGGCATATGTGTTAAGATGAAAAGTTATTTTTTATTATAATTTATTTACAAGTTTTTCTTTTCAGATTTGTGACCTTGCATATTTTTCATTTTTCACCTAACTCCATGAAATCCTCAGATACACTCAGGTCTTATAATAGTGTCCCAGATTCTGGTGCTCTAAAGAGAACTGCAGCATATATATTTTATTACAAGCTTCTATTCACCAGCTCGGTTGCTATCCTATACCTCCTTATATGAATCCAACCCCAGCTCATACTCTCAAGCATTCATACTAGTCCACTTCCTCCTAAGTCTTACTGAATCTATGAAAATTGAGTCCCAGGAATGACTCTGCTTTCATACTAAGAAGCATGCCATGTCATGTTTCCGACTTATTTAAGTGATATAGTACTATAGTACGATTATTATGTTTTAAACTGCTTACCTATTGGGACATTTTCATTTTATAATTTGATCTTTTTTTCATGTGTTCCAAGAAAAACGGTTAGGATCTCTTTTCGACATACTTCTTCATATTCTTAACTTAAAACATAACCACTGGTGAAAACGTGATTATAAAGTTCTCTAGTGTCATTGGTTTTAAATTCTATGAGAAAAAGACTAGTGAATTAGTGTTGAACAAAAAATAATCAACTCCATCTTCTCATTAGTTTCAGCTGATTACTACTTACAATGAGTTTCAAGAAAGACAAATCTTCTACTCTCTGACAAAAATTCAAAGGTCCCAATTTTAGTGGGAGAACTCTTAAATATTTTCAAATAATATTTTAAAAAAATAATCCTTAAAAGCCAAATCTGCAGGTTGATACCCCAGGATTTTGAATAAAATTAATATCCCCGAATGACTGATGTGTAGCTTCTGACTTCAGCATAAATTCTCACTCTCTATTAGCATACTGTTTGTTTTCCTTTCAATATCCTCAAATAAAAAATTCCCATCTTACAGAGTTTTATATATTTGCAAAAAGAATTATATCAAACATGGGCAGCAATCAAACATGGATCACAGAAGTCATCCTACTGGGATTCCAGGTTGACCCAGAACTTGAAGCTTTTCTTTTTGGGTTGTTCCTGCTATTCTACTGCCTCACCCTGATCGGAAATGGGGTCATCCTGGGACTCATCGTCCTGGACGCCAGACTGCACACCCCCATGTACTTCTTTCTCTCAAGCCTGGCCATTGTGGATATGTCCTTTGCCTCAAGCATTGTCCCTAAGATGCTAGCAAATCTTTTAGTGCGGAAGAAGACCATGTCCTTTGCTCCGTGCATCCTTCAGACCTTCCTGTATTTGGCATTTGCCATCACAGAGTGTACAAGCTTGGTGGTCATGTCCTATGACCGCTACGTGGCGATTTGCCACCCCTTGCATTACACTGTCATCATGAGCTGGAGGGTGTGCACGGTCCTGGCTGCCACTTGCTGGGTCTTCAGCTTTCTCTTGGCTCTCGTCCACGTGACTCTTCTTCTGAGGTTGCCCTTTTGTGGGCGCCAGACGATCAACCACTTTTTCTGCCAAATCATGGCAATATTCAAGTTGGCCTGTGCCGATACTCGGCTCAATCAAGTTGTCCTCTTCATAGGTTCTGTGTTGGTTTTAGTGGGACCCCTCTGCTTGGTGCTGGTGTCCTACACGCGCATCCTCATTGCCATCCTGAGGATCCAGTCTGGAGAGGGTCGCAAAAAGGCCTTCTCCACCTGCTCTTCCCACCTCTGCGTGGTTGGGCTCTTCTTTGGCAATGCCATCGTCATGTACATGACCCCCAAATCCAGCCATTCTGAAGGTCAAAGGAAGATCCTGTCCTTGTTTTACTGTCTTTTCAACCCTATGCTGAACCCTCTGATCTACAGCCTGAGGAACGCAGAGGTCAAAGGAGCCCTGAGGAGAGTGCTGAGGAGCAAGAGAGCACTGTGAGATCAGACCGGTTTGGCAGTCCAGAGCTGTTGGAACTTTGTTCTTGTTACCCTGACTTCTTGAATACCTTTCATTGTCCTTCGGTGTAACTAACCCAGTACTCTGTCTCTTGCAAAGTCTTATCATAAAAGGGGGAAAATCGCCCTACAAATTATGACAGTGATATCAAACTGGAGAGATAAGTAAAACAGTAAATCACAGTGTAATCCTATTCATGAACACCGATACAAATATTTTAAAGAAAATATTCATGTAGGAGAACTTGGGCTTAATTCGTTGCACTACCAGAAAAAAGTCACTATTAAAATACAGACCAAGACATTAAGAAATGGGAACACATTCTATCTACAGGGATGGAAAGAATTAATACACAAATGTCCATTCTTTCAGAATACAATATACATATTTAATGCAATTCTGGTCAAAATTCAAAAATATATTTTAAGAAAATATAATCAAATTTACTAGGGCTCTATGAAATCATGTGACATTAAATATCTATGGCAAGCCTGAAGCAGAGAAAGAAAAACGTGGGCATGATGTTACTTGATTTCAACTACACTACAAAGCAACAATAATCAAGACTGTATGGTACTGAAATAAAATCCATTTTATTTTAATCCATGATACAGATCAATGAAGCAAATTTGAAATCCCAGAAATAATCCAAGTATTCATTGATATTTAACTTATAAAAAAGGTTCTAGTACTATATAAAGAAAGGAAAATTTCTAAAGAACCCTGGAAAATCACAAATGCAAGACTAAAATTGGAAAAAATAAATACAAAATATTAAAACTCTTTATGTAAGACCGAACACCATAAATTACAAAAAGGTAACATAGGTGTGGGGTATGGAGCTATAGTACAGTGGGTCAAGTGCTTGCCTGGAATGCAGACAAATTGGGTTCAATCCTAGGCATCCCTTATGATCCCCTCAAGAAAGATCCTTAAGTGCTGAGGGAGGAGTAAGCCCTGAGCACTTCTAAGTGTGACCCAAAACAAACAAATAGGTGAAATTTTCTATGACATACGCAGCACAGATATTCTATTCTTTTGCATGTGGTCATTTATATTTCCTTCCACCATTTGTTACAGATACTTTCCTACCTCCAATTTATACCTTTGGCTCCATTATTGTACATTAGTTGTTCATATATGTGAAAGTTTATTTCTGTGGTTTTCATCATTCGTTTTTTTTTTTTGTCTTTGTGTCTCCTTTAATTCATAGCCACATTGTTTTGGTTACCATGATTTTGTAATCTAATTTGACATCAGGAAGAAAAATGCCTCTATTCTTTCACTTCAGGATTGGTTTTGCTGTTTGGGATCCTTTTTGGTTCCAAAGTTCAGTATTACTTATTCTATCTCCTTAAAGAATATTTATTAGAATTTTTTTCTTTTTGGATCACACCCAGTGATGCACAGGGTTTATTCCTGGCTCATGCACTCAGGAATTACTACTGGCAGTGCTCTGGTGACCATACGGGATTCTGGGAATCAAACCATGGTCAGCCATGTGCAAGGCAAACACCCTACCCGCTGTGCTATTGCTCCAGCCCCTATTATTAGAATTTATTAAAGGATTTCTGCTTTAGACAGGTTAGTTATTTCAACTATTTAAAAATATCCCCAAACATAGGCATGGAATATCATCCCAACTATTGTGTCTTCTATTTTTTTCCCCTAGTTTTTGGACTGCATGCAGTAGTACTGAGGCTTTAGTCCTAGTTCTGCACCTAGGGATCACTCTGGGTGAGATTGCAGGAACATACTGGGTACCAGGGATTTAACCTGGGTCCATTGAGTGCAAGGATAGTGTTTTACCAGCTGTTAATGCCCAAGTTCAAAAATTATGTTTGTAACCCTTTCACCACCTTTTAAAATTTATTCTTTGGTACTTAATTCTTTTTTTGACATTTGAGAATAGAATTTTTTCTTTCTGGCTCATTGCTTGGTTATGATTATATTGCTTGCCTATAATTTTCTAATGTTTATATGGTTACAAGTTATAGTTCAGGTATATAATATTCTATTTTATGCTTATTACATATTCTATTTTTATTCCATGCAACTGTTTGTTTATGGACAATGTAGCATGATAGTATGATATTATACCATAGTAGTCTATTGTTCTGATAATTTTTTGTGGTGTCTTTAAGGTATTAGATAACTACTTAATTTTCAAAAAGTGATAATTTTATTTCTTCTTTTCAAATTTGAATAATTTTTACTTATTTTTCTTATTTGATTTCTAATACTTTTAATGTTATGTTGAATAATAATGATTCTAATCTTGTATTCTTAGAAGAAATATATCAGTTTTATAATGATTCAGTATCATGTTAGTTGTGATTTGTTATGTATGGCATATATCATGTTGAGTAAGTGCTATATGCAATAACTGTTTTGTTGAGTTACAACAAAAAACAGATGACAAATCTTAGAAAAATTTTCTGTATCGGGGGCCAGAGAGATAAAACTAAGGGAAAGGCACTTGTCTTGCACAGAGCCAACCCAGGTTTAATCCCTGAAAGAAGCAGGATATGACCCACAAACAAAGAGCAAAACAAAATTAAAAATTTCCGTGTTACTGATATTATCACAGTTTTTATGTTTCTTTTTATTGATGAAATACCATGCCTTGGTTGATTTGTTTAAGTTCTTTACAAGATTAATATTATGTTTAAAGTAAAAAAAATCACTGTCACTGTCACTGTCCTCCCGTTGTTCATCAATTTGCTCGAGCGGGCCTAGTAACGTCTCCATTGTGAGTCTTGTTGTTACTGTGTTTGGCATATCGAATACATCACGGATAGTTTGCCAGGCTTTGCCGTGCGGGCAAGATACTCTTGGTAGCTTGCCGGACTCTCCGAGATGAGCAGAGGAATTGAACCCAGGTAGATCGAGTCAGCGGTGTGCAAGGCAAATGCCCTGCAGCTGTACTATCGCTCCAGCCACCCCCCACTCCAAATATCATGTATCATAAAACTGAGTGGAAGCTTGAATAGAATTTTCAGGAGTGGGACTTTCTGAGGACCACAAGCGATAGCACAGTGGGTAGGGTGGTTGTCTTATAGGCGGCCAACCCGGGTTCGATTCCTCTGTCCCTCTCAGAGAGCCTGGCAAGCTACCGAGAGTATCCCGCCCACATGGCAGAGCCTGGCAAGCTCCCCGTGGCGTATTCGGTATGTCAAAAACAATAACAACAAATCTCACAATGGAGATGTTACTGGTGCCCGCTCGAGCAAATCGATGAGCAACAGGAGGACAGTGCTACAGTGCAACAGTGCTTGTTCCTGGAAGAGACCTAAGTCACTCAGAACCTGTCATGGCAGTTCTCCGGCTAAGTGGGGCCTAACAATCTCTGTTAAGTTATAAAAAAGGAGGAGCAAGAATCAAGTAATATTATAAATGGAATGTCATAGAAAATGGAATTATTCTAACAATAAATTTATTAAGGTTTTTGGTGTTTTTTTTAAATTTTGTCATTCTATTATTTATTATTTTGGGTCACACCCAACGGTACCCATGGCTTACTCCTGGCTCTGCACTAAGAGATCACTCCTGTGAGGCTCAGGGCCCAGTGGAAGGCTGGAAATTGAAACCTGGTAGACTGAGTGCAGAGCAAGTGTCCTGTCCACTGTGCTATCTCTCCAAATTATGAGTTTTATGACTTATAATTTTGCAGACAAAGCCTATTTCACTGTATTTAATGATACGTTCTTTTTATGTAGCCAGAAAATACTGTTTAACTCCTGCCTAAATTTCAATATCTAGTTCTGCATGGGGCTGGAGCGATAGCACAGCGGGTAGGGTGTTTGCCTTGCACACAGCCAACATAGTCTACCTGGGTTCGATTTTTCCGCCCCTCTCGGAGAGTCTGGCAAGCTACCGAGAGTATCTCGCCCGCACGGCAAAGCCTGGCAAGCTACCCATGATGTATTCGATATGCCAAACACAGTAACAAGTCTCACAATGTTACTGGGCCCGCTCGAGCAAATCGATGAACAATGGGAGGACAGTGACAGTGACAGTTCTGCACGATACTGGTTTGTATGGGCATCCTGCTGGCAATTCTCTGATTCCAAATATGTGAGGCCCTTCTCTACCTGCCTCTTCTGCTTTGTGTGGTTGGGCTTTTCTTTGATGATATTACCACCATCTATGTCATCTACAGGACCCCTAAATCCCACCACCCTCAGGAGCAGCAGAAAAACCCTTCCTGATTCACAGCCTCTTCCCATCTTGAATTCATTATTTTCAAGGATAAAAATGTTGAATAATAAAGATGCTCGGACTCAGAGTTTGAAAGATAGAAAAGAATTGTTGAAAGGTTAAACATTTCCCACGGAGGAAGAACTTAATACAGAACTGAGTATGGTTCATTTGTTTGTGTGGGATTTTTATAGGAAAACTGGCTCTCCAAAGCATCAAAGAGGACTCCATTTGTTTCCCAGAAACATCTTGTTAATTTAGGGCCCATTTGTGTTGCTAAAATAAGAGTAACATCGTTCATTCTCTTTAGGCTGGCTGGGACTGTTTATTTAGGATCTTTTAGGTTATATATTTGACCATTATCTCTGTGAGCTGAAAATAGGTTATATATTTGACCATTATCTCTGTGAGCTGAAAACCTGGGACTAAATTTATAGCCTTGGGAAACTGTAAACTTCCCCAGTCTCAGAGAGAGGACAGGAATTCGCAGGACTGTTTAAAATATAAGATAGGAACAGCTAAAATGGAGCTGCTCACAGCAGCTGGCAAGGGGAAACTGAGGCTCCCTCTTTCAAGGTTATGGGCATATGAGAAATGATAGGAAGCTAAGCAGGGCCCTTGGCTTAACCCAAAATATTTGGCAGAGCAACAACCAACTCATGGGGTGAAGAGAATTGTACCCAGCAAGGCCTCTTCCTTTGCTATGACCAGATAGACCAGGCGAATCTCAGTCCTAAGAGGATTCTAGCTCCTTAGAGAATCCTTCATTATAATTCTTTACC